CTGGCATGTTGCACTCCACAAACCCAATCAAACCTCAAACACAGTTAAAGATGCACTGAAAGCTACAGAACCCCCCAAACACATTCTAAAGATGACTGACTGTCATGTCCCTTCAATCATATATAAACCAACAAAGGGAAGTGGGAGTCAAAGAATTTTGCTAGATGTTACAACTGAATTGGCAACCCAGTCCATGGAAATAATGTGGACAACATCTAGAAACAGACGTAGCAGCATAAGAAAATCTAAGGGTACAGTAAAGACAGCCACCTAAATTGGTGAGGAAATGATAAATTCTTTAATACGTTTAGGTGATGGGGCAGTCCTAAAGAAAAAGATATTGTTGAATCCACTCTTCACTGTTAAGAAAAAAACATAACAACAACAAAAAACGAGACCATTCAAGTACTAGAAGGAAACATGAGAGAAATTTCTCGACAGCCCAGAGGGGTGGTAAAGGTTTTCTAATTATGACTCAAAATCAAGAAGTGCTAAGTGAAAAGGTTGGTACATTTCATCAATGTGGAAATTAAAACAAAACAAAATTTGTCAGGTAAAAATCTGGAAACAAATGTTTGTCCCAGTGGTGCAGGGGTTGAGTGCTGGGGTGTTAACCTGAAGGAGCAGTTGAACCCACCAGCCCCTCTGGTGGAAGAGTGGGGTGCTAGTCCGAGCCCGGGCAGACGGCAGCCTTGCAGACCCGTTGGGGCGCTCGTCTTAGGTCTGCTGTCCGCTAGGGCTGCTATGAGTTAGAACTGACTCACAGGAGATGGGCTTGAGTTCGCTTTTCATTAACTGGCAATTAGCTGGAATCCCATATGTTCCACAAAGAACATGGAAAAGGACTAGAGGCAAGACCATAAATGTGAATGACTCTGAGAAATATGAGAGAAAGTTCACCCTTGCTCATAACAGAGAAATGCACAGCAAATCTACACCGTTTCCCGTGTGCCACACTGGCAGAAAGACCGAGGGTGGACAGCACTCTGTTGGGAAAACAGGCACTGTCATCCCTTATTGAGATAAAAGTAACATGGGACGCCTGTCTCCAGGACCTTGGCGATACTAGCAAAGTCACGTGTATTTACCCGTGGATTCAACAATTCCACGTTGAGAAACCTTTCCCAAAGAAATGCCAAAAGATAAATTCCTTGTTTTAATTGCATCTGGCTGAGGAAAAAAAAAAAAGCCCACCATTAGAGGACTGATGGAATAGTCTATCTACACAACTGAGTACCATGCTATAGAAAACAACGTGGGCAGCTGCCCCTCCCCCCAGAAGAATTCGCTTCAGAGGACAGCACTGAAGCTGCAGCGCAGGGAGAGGGACATGTCTGATCAGAGCACACGGGAGCAAATGAAGGGGGAGGAACGGAAAGTGGAGCACATTCTGGCCCACCAAGCCTTGAGGAAGATATCGCTGCTCGAGCAGCCAATACACAGAGAGGACCATATGGCCAGCCCCTCTACGAGACATGACATCCCTCACTGACCCATAGCCCTACAGGAGATAACACTGGAGACACAGTGTGGGAATTGCGCCCGATCTGACCCCACCACACCAAGGCAAAACACTAAGGGAATGCAACAGAACAGCAAGGGGAGCAGAGCAAGGAAGTCCCAAGGGACTACCAAAAATAAGACTTTGGGGCCAGGGTTTGGCACCCCATCATACTCTACCGGAAAACACTCCTAAAGGTCAACAAACAATCCTTGCACTATTTACAGGCTTTTCTTCTTCTTTTTTTTTTCCCCATTGGTCTTTTGTTGTTGTTTTCTTTTCTTTTGTTGCTTTGGTTTGCTCTGTCTCGTTTTTGAGCACGTTATTATTTCTGCAGGTCTAGCTAGATAAGATAGGCTAGATAAACAATCTAGAGGAGAAAACAACACTACCTACGGTTCCTGCAGGACATGGGAGAGGAGGAAGTGGGGGAAAGGAAGTGGTGTTAACAAACCCAGGGACAAGGGAACAACAAGTGATCCAAAATCGGTGGTAAGGAGGGTGTAGGAGGCCTGGTAGGGTTTGATCAAGGGTAATATAACTGAGAGGAATTACTAAAACCCAAATGAAAGCGGAGCATGATAGTTGAATAAGAGGAAAATAAAAGGAAATAGAGGAAAGAACTAGGAGGCAACAGACATTTATAGAGTTCTTAATAAAGGCACGTGCATATGTAAATATATTTATATATGAGGATGGGGAAATAGATCTAAGGGCATATATTTATAGGTTTAGTATTAAGGTAGCAGATGGGCATTGGGCCTCCACGCAAGCACTCCCTCAATGCAAGAATACTTTGGTTTATTAAACTGGCATTCCATGATGCTCACCTTCCCGACATGATTGCTGAAGACAAAGCGGGTGCCTAAGCAAATGTGATAAAAAAAGCTGATGGTGCCTGGCTATCAAAAGATATAGCATCTGGAGTCTTAAAGGCTTGAAGATAAACAAGCGGCCATCTAGCAGGGAAGCAACAAACATACATGGAAGAAGCACACCAGCCTGTGTGATCATGAGGTGCCGAAGGAATCAGGTATCAGGCATCAAAGAGCAAAAAATCTTATCATTGTGTACTCACCTTCTCCATACGATCACTGAAGACAAATGGGTGCATAAGCAAAAGTAGTGAAGAAAGCTGATGGTGCCTGGCTATCAAAAGATATAGTGTCTGGGGTCTTAAAGGTTTGAAGGTAAACAAGCGGCCATCTAGCTCAGAAGCAACAAAGCCCACATGGAAGAAGCACACCAGCCTGTGTGATCACGAAGTGTCAAAGGGGTCAGGTATCAAGACATCAAAGAACAAAAAATCAAATCATTGTGAATGAAGGGGAGCGTAGACTGGGGATCCAAGACCCATCTGTAGGCAACTGGACATCCCTTTACAGAAGGGTCACGGAGAGGAGATGAGCCAGTCTGGGTGCTGTTTGTAGCAACAATGAAACATACAACTTTCCTCTAGTTCCTAAATGCTTCTCCCTCCCCACTATCATGATCCCAATTCTACCTTATAAATTCGGCTAGATCAAAGGATGTACACTGGCACAGACAGGAACTGGAAACACAGGGAATTCAGGACAGATGATCCCTTTAGGACCAGTGTTGAGAGTGGCGATACCTGGAGGGTGGAGGGAAGGTGGGGTAGAAAGGAGGAACCAATTACAATGATCTACATATAACCTCCTCCCTGAGGGATGGACAACAGAAAGGTGGGTGGAAGGAAATGTCGGACAGTGTAAGTTATGACAAAATAATAATAATTTATAAATTATCAAGGGTTCATGAGGGAAGGGGAAGCAAGGAAGGAGGGTAAAAAATGAGAAGCTAATACCAAGGGCTCAAGTAGAAAGCAATTGTTTTGAGAATGACGAGGGCAACAAATGTACAAATGTGCTTGACACAATGGGTGTATGTATGGATTGTGATAACAGTTGTACGAACCCCCAACTAAAAAAAGATGAGGAACAGCTCTATATAATATGATGAGGTGATTTCTGTAATATACTGTCAATGGGCGGTGGGGGGTAGTGGAGTACACTACCGTTTACAAGAGGAAATAACGTTTATATATTTACTTACATATCTATTTTAAAATAACAGGATAAACCATGAAAACAGAGTTTCTATAGGGTTACTCTGAGTCAAAACCGTCTTGATGGCAGTGGGAATTAAAACAAATTTGGGTTTGGTATGGATATAGGTGAGGGAAGCTGAAGAGAAGAGGCTACAGACTCAACTTCTCTGAACATGTGTTTGCCTTGCTTCATGGATCTGGCTCTGGGACTCGGTCCATGCACTGTGATGGGCTGCTGATCCCACACTGACTCACGGCAACCCTGCAGGGAAAAGGAGGGCTGGCTCAGGAGGTTTCAGAGCGGACTACCACTTCATCCTTCTCCCTGGGAGTGGCTGTAGGTTCAAACCACCAACTTTTCAGTTGGTAGCCCATTGCTTAACCACTTCACGGCCAAGGCTCCTATTTGCAGCTATGCATGATAACAATCCTGGGGCCCTGGCGATACCGTGGTTAGTGCTCGGCTACTAAGTGAAAGAGCAGCCGTTCAAACCCACAAGCGGTTCGGCAGGAGAAAAGACCGGGCGATCTGCTCCCATACAGACTATTTCCAAACCCGAACTCACTGCCAGTCAGGCCATTCTGACTGACAGAGACCCTGCAGGACAAGGAAGAACTGCCCTTGTGGCTTGCTGAGACTGTCACTCTTTTCAGCTGTAGAAAACCTCGTCTTTCTCCCTTGGCGAGGCTGGTGGTTTCAAACTGATAACCTTGCGGTTAACAGCCCAACCCATAACCCACTCTGCCACCAAGGCTAACCTCCCTAAAGAATAAAAGGACACGGTCTAGGAAACCTTACGGGCAGTTCCGCTCCGGCCTGTCAGGCTGCTACGAGTCGGAATTGGGTAGCTGGCACACAACCCCCACCATGACCACAAGCACAGCCGGAGTCCTTCTCCAGGGACTCACTAGCTGCGACCGTCTTTCTGGTGAGATGAAGTTGTAGAAAAGAAAGCAGGAAATTGTGGAAGAACACTGAAGTCTCCACACAGGAAACTACTTGTAAGAGAGCAACCGCAAGCCCCTTTGGAGAAAAGGAGTGGAAGCACCCGACTAACAAAGACCTACCCGCAGGAAAAGTCCCACGAGGAAAACCGTATAGATTTTGATTTTTACAGTTATTTACTTACGGGTGCATTCCCCCCAGGTCCCTCTTCAAGCCTCACTTGAGTATAAAATTCAACTGTTTTAGGACTACTCTCTTTCTGTTCCTCAATCATAAATCCACCTAACTGCCTTAAAATGTCAGCCCACAGTGCTGTCCTGTTTGATCTCTGCCACAGATCCTGGTTCTTGGCAAATCCTTCTCCTAGGTACAGATTCTTCACAACTAAGGTCTCGCTTTCGGAAGGCAGCATTAAGCAATGCAGAGAACCCAAGAGGGGTGGCGCGTAAAGAGGGGGCTGTGAGTCTCAGCGCTCTGCTCACCCAGTCCTCCGGGGCCTGCCAGCAGGAACTCCTGTCTGCCTATGCGTTTCACAATGGGGCGCTTCTCCTCGCTGCAGTAGGGAAACAGGTCCTGCGAAACGCCCGTGCTGTAGTTCAGGATGATGTACTGCGTGGTCAGGGCCAGGCACAAGAAGTGGCCATCCACGGCCACGGCAAAGGGCTGCTCCGGAGTGGACACTTCTTTGACGATCTGGACTCGGTCCTCGTAGACCATGAACATCTGGATGGTCCGGCGCTTGACCGAAATGATGCAGACTTCCACACAAAACGGGTCCCCGCTCACAGGGTTCTCGTTCAAAGTGAACGTCACCGCCCCTTTGATTCGGGCGCCTGAGGGAATGGGCTCCAGGTTCACCATGTTGACCAGCGTTATGTAGCTGTCACAGAGCACCAGGAGCCTGTTGAGGGCCGATGCTGCTCTCAGCTCGTTCACCGGCTTCTTGAAGCCCAGGGATCTGTGTAACTGTTTGGTGGCAGTGAATGTGGCTGGCCCAGTGGGCCCTGTCTTCTCCTCCAACAGGAAGTGGTAAATGAAGCAGCTACTGGTGCCCACATAGAGGTTCTTCCCGCAACACTCAACACACTCTATGTGAACGCGATCTTTGTCGTCCATCAGCAGCTCCCGCTCCACCGCCGAGACCAACGTAAAGGCCTTGATGCTCATCCTGTCTACTGGGTGATCTGTGGGGAGAGAAATGGAACAACGAAAACTTCAGAATAGCTATAGGAAGACGCGGGAACATGCTGGGTAGTGAGGAATATGAGGGCTGGTCAAACACGACTGCTACAAAAGCACAGGGACCTTGCTGAGATAAAGCTATGTGAAGGTCAGGCTCCTGTTTCTTGACATGACCTCCATGTTGTCTATACCCTGCTGAAGGCTGAGGCCCCACCGCTCTGGCCCTTCCCTGCAGAAGCCCACACTCTTCGGTTTACAGCGCGGCAAAGCGGCAGTATGGGCATCTTTGAGAGACTCGGATCGTGTTGGTTGACCTTGGGGTACAAAAAGAAGTATTGATGGGCAAGGCCAAGGCTGTAGGGTGGACAGGGTAAGGTTACTCATGGAAATGCTTGCAAGGAAGCATTTGCTATGTTCAAACAACGGGCAGGACCACTGTCGTGGTGGAACGAATATTTCTCCTAGTCACAGAAACCCGGAGTGGCCGCAAGAAAGGTACTGGGACAAATAGGAGTCAGCAAAGTGACAGGACACAAAATTGACAAAGATCTGTGGGGCTCCCTACACTGACAGAGAGGAAGTTCGGATGACAATGCCATTGTCAATAACCCCATCAAAATGAAGTGCTTAAGGACAAATCTAACTGGAGACACAAAGCAAACTACAAACCATCACCACAGGCAGCCGACAGAAACGTACGGAACACTTGGGGTAAGGCATGCGGATGACAAGAGCATTACTGAAGGATTGTCCACAGCCATCCACTGATCCAGAGACACGCTGGGACACATTCTGTTTAGAATAAACCTGTGCACGCACCAATTAGGACCCTCGTTGCAATACTTCCCTCACACTTGGCCCTTGACTCTTCAAATGTGACTTCAATTAGTTTTTAAAAATTATTCAACACTGTTAAAACATGTGGCAGTTACATAATCTCCTGTCAAGTTGAGCTAAGGAGTGGCGTCTAGCCTGTCGATCAGGTCGCAGCTTGACAACTTCATTTGGAGGCGCAATGGAGGTAAATAGCTCGCTGGAGGACAGACCCTCTCTCTCTCTGCCGGCCCTGTCCCGCTGTTGAGACACCCAGAGAACTGGAGGAGACACATGGAGACCCGCAGCAGAGCTCGGATGCTTCCACTGCCACTGGATCCATAAGACCTTCCACCCGCTAGTCTGTGATCTTCCTACACTGTGCTTCATTGCATGTGTTGTGTGAATCTTTAGAGGAATTTACAGACTGGTATCGGACATGTGGGCTAATATCAGACTTACGGACTTAATCTGGACTGGGGTGGGATGGTTTTTCAATATACAACGCTCTTTTATATAAAGCTCTTTCTTATACACACATGCATGTCTCCCTGGATTTGTTTCTCTAGTCTAACTGGACTAACACAAAACATATGAAGGGAAAAAAACCTATTTCTCCACTTTGCCTTCCCAAAGGATGAACATACAACATTTTCTTCAAATGTAAGTGTCACCTGCTCATTCACAGTAAAGTGGAGATTTCCACAGGAAACTTTCTTACATGCTCTTGGGAGACATATCTATATGCAGAAAACACAATTGCTTCCTTTGGACAACAGGACCGAGAAACTTTCGAGAATAAAAAATAAAAAATCATGCTCATTGTTTTTCCTCTTGAGCTTCCCTGGCCATTGGATTCTGCCGATGTTGTGGGATGCAGCTGTAAGGTGTTTTAAGTCTTGTTCCTCCAATCCTGCCGGCACCACCGGGGGTTTGGGACCACACACTAAATTATAAGAATTCTTCCAAAGGAGGCATGCATGTTGGCCCCAGCACCGTATTTGGCTCCCAGACTAAGGGTGTCACTGGGGAGTTCTAAAGGAGTGTCTCACATCTCTAAAGTCCTTCAGGTGGTAAATTACGATATTTAGTGAGTTTTGAAGCTTAACTGACATGTCAGTCTGTGAATTTTTCCTCCTGGAAGAGAGACTGCCTCCTCAACTCTTAGCTTCCTACTTCTTCCTCTAAAATAATTGGCTCCACACTTCACAAGGAGCTCTAGTGATGTACGGAGCACTGGTGGCATACTGGTTACGCCCTGGCTGCTAACCTCAAGGCCTGCAGTTCAAACCACTAGCTGCTCCTCGGGAGCGAGATAGGGCTTTCTACTCCTGTAAACAGTTCCAGTCTCAGGAACTCACAGGGGCAGTTGTATCTGTCTTATAAGGGTCACTATGAGTTGCCATCGACCCGAGGGCAGGAACACTCGCAAAATCAGACACTCAAAAAACCAAACTCACTGCCATCGAGTCGAGTCCAACTTCATAGCGACCCCATGGCCTTCCTCTGATTCCTTGGCCAGCCAACTGGCAGGCAAGCGCCAAGAGAGCGGTGCCTACTGTCTCCAGACTAGAGAGGGAGATGGCGTAACTCCAAAGAGAATGGCAAAGGACAGACAGAGAGTAGAAGAGCGCCGATTGAACTTGTAGTAGAGAGACTTGTCTATCAGTACAAGAACCGGGCTGCCCAGCAGGAGATTAAACTCTAATCCCGTGAGCCATTCCAGCAATGCCTGTAAGCACTCCTGGAAGGAGTCCACAAAGAATCATGCATTGACAAAGGGGAGGATTTAACAACTTCTCCTGTGCCTTCCAACTCAACAGTTTCCTAAGTCCACAGTTTCTCGAACTCCTGTCCACTGGGGATGACAACTATAAATGAATAACAATCCAGCCTTCCTTTCTCATCCTACTGTTTACTAGCAAGTACTGTTTACTGCTTTTCTAAGCCCCAATTTCCACATCTCCAAAATGGGCCTAATAATGGCATCTCTTCCGTAAATTGAGGATTAAGTGTGAGGTGAAATTGCTTATTGTGGCTCTTGTATCCAAAATCTTCATAGCCTCCCAGCCATCACATGAGTTGGAGTGTGTAAATGTGGTGTAGAGGGCTCTAACTTGGGGACTGGTCAGTCTTACCATTCCACTGGTATGTAAGAATACGCCGCCGCAGGAGCATGGACAGAACTGGCATGGCCATGAAGAAAGAAAAGCCCAGTGGAGCACATCTGAGAAGTGACAGAGGTACCAGGGGCACCAGAGGTCGCAGCACCAAGGCCATGACATGGATACAACTTAGCAGCCACACAGAGACCATGAGACAGAGCAGTGGAGCTTCGATGAGTCAGTGAGGCTCATGGAGGCAGAAGCCAAGGGGCCACTGGACTGAGAGGCTGAGCATGGCTGAGAAGAGGCACTGTGACCAAAGAGCTGTATCCTTAACATTTTGTAGCCTGTCAACTTCCCGAATAAACCCCCATAACCGTTGAGGACTGTTTGTGAATCTTGTGTGGTCACTGCAGTACATGGCTGAAACGAGCACAAGAGTGGAGTGCTGTGAACGGGATATTATTTTCTCAAGTTTAGGATTAAGAAGCAAAAGAATTCTATCAAAAATAAATAAATAAATAAATAAAAAGAATTCTATCTTCCGTCCTTCCAAACAACAACAACAACAAACAAGCCAAATTCTCTGCCACTCAGTCCATAACCCACAGTGACCCTATAGGGTGGAGAAGAACTGCCCGTGCGGGTTTCTTGGCCGGCAAATCTTCATGGGAGCAGAAAGCCTCATCTTTCTCCCTTGGAGCAGCTGGTGATTTCAAACTGCTGACCTGTGGTTAGCAGTCCAACACATAACCATCTATACCCCCAGGGCTCCTTTCGTCTGCCCTTAGATGTGGGTCATCTGTGTCTACCTCTCTGCAAGGCAACCTGAACCGTACGGCAGAACACACAAACTCCACACACAGCCATTTTCAAATTCACTTGCATGACTTCATCTTCACAGAGACTGTGGAATAGCAAGTGGGAGAGGCAGGAGTGAGGCCCAACAGGCATCAAAGGAAAGGAACTGTGTTCATCTGCTTTGAGCTGCAGAGACGTCTTGGAGCCCCAGGGAAAGCCTGGGGTGGGGGTGAACTGGAGGAAGAACTCCTACAGGATATTACACATAATTACTGGCACAAAAGAGAAATGTTAAACGCCATCATCTATTTGTCGCAATCAAATATAGTGACAACAAACCAACCTGGACCTATTTTTCCCTGCTTAAATGCTGCCTAATAACACCTGAACATTGAAATGCCGGCTTTAAAGCAAAAGGCAAACTAATGCAAAATACTTCTACCTTCAGTGACTGATCAGGGCTGGTTTTTAAAACAACACGATAAAGCTACGAGTCAGAGTGGAGTCGGGTTGGCATGTTATCCTATGTTCACATCCTATGACACAGCAGGGAACACGATATCAGTCTCTGCTTTCCGAATAATTGCTGATGGAGATTCCATTTTAATAAACACTACTTTAGCACAGCACTGTTTTAGCAGAATATATTTCTCTTCCAGGGCAGGCTTTTTTTTCAAGCCTGTAATGTTGCATCTGTTTGTAAAATAATTTTATCACTTTTTAAATAACTTTTAAGATAGGGCTTTAGTGGATATTTATTCCTTCTGATGTGACTTTGTTGATGAGGCCTGGCCTTGCTGGACACACAAAAACCAAAAGGGAAGCCATGCAATTGATAAAACCAGCCTCGAGTTGGTTAAAAAGTAAGAGTGGAAATGTGCTCATGGTCCTGAAAACATAAGGGAGGCTGGTGAAGGTGGCAGGAGGGTAAGGCATGCCTCTTAGAAGCTATGACCAGGATGGCACAGATGCCCACTCTGTATGGGGCATCGGGCCTCCTGAGCACACAGCCACATTTCAGTCTGTTCCTTCGTCACCTCATAGCATTAGAGTCCAAATATTGTTCCAACTTCATGAGTACAGATGAATCTCATGGTGGTGACGATTTGCAATTCCAGGTAAACAATCATGCTTAGCATCTTCTTCATGTTTCTTGGCCACTCGCTTCCCCCTTTCTGTGAGATAGCCCACTTTTCTACTGCAGTGTTTGCCACTTTGTTCTAGCAGGCTCTTTACTTGATGCAGACAAGCTTTTATCAGAGATGAAAAGTCAGTGTCTTCTC